TATAAAGACTGAGTCACCAGAGAGTGTTCTACCTTGCCTTTGCAAGGAGAAAGTAGGTTATCATTATGCCTCGAATGTCAAGGACATAGGTTTGAAAGCTTCATTGTAACATTAAAGCTATTTAATTGAATGATTTCAGGGAGATGCTATAAAGAGATTTCCCAACTTTTTGTGGAGGGAATAGTTACTTTTATAATGTGCATTTTGAGAATAAGCTGCTAATAGTTCATGTTTGTTGGCATTAGGCATAGAAAAAGAGCAAAGAAGTTATTATCTTCCCCTGTTGCCAACATCACCCTCAAATGTGTTTATACCCAACTGTCACTATATATCAGGAGTTATACTCTGGCAGGAGTCTTATTACCACATTTTTTTGAGCATTGTGTAGCCCTTGTGCTTTAGCAGCAGAGGAAGGTTTTTGGTGGAGGCTTCTGCTTAGAATCAATTACAGTTTGAATATCCCTAATCTGAAATCCGAAATGTTTAAAATTCATAACTTTTTGAGCGTCAACATAATACTCAAAGGAAATTCTCATTGGAGCATTTTGGATTTCAGATTTTTGGATTAGGGATGCTGAACCAGTAAGTATAATGCAGATATTCCAAAATCAGAAAAAAAATCCAGAACGTTTCTGTTCCCAAGCATTTCAGATAATGAATACTCAACTTGTATCAGTTTCTTAATCAACTGACTGTCTCGGTGGGCCTATTGCTGTGGTCTCTGTTTGCAATTAATGACCCATTTTAAAAGCTGCTATAGAATACATATAGATTAGAATCTCTATTTTTAAGAAAACTGTGATGTCCTGATCCAGAGGATTCATATAATGACTAATGCTTTGTAACTGTTTGGTAAAATTTAGGGAATATTTGTGTTCAAAATATCAAGGAAGGGAAGGGAGATGATACAAAGCTAAGGAAACATTTGTGCTCAGAATATCCTAATATTATTGCCCTAATAACGAGCAAGGCTGACAATTACCCATAGGGATTTTTGCCAAGGAAATAAGGATCTTCCAAGCATCTTTCCAGGCAAGAAGCCCATGAGTTTCTCTTTAAGGAGTTTGTGGAATGTCTTCATTGTTACACTTTTTTGATTTTTTTGTTTCCCTTAAAAATAAAAAACGTTATTCAAGAAAAGCATTTTGCACATTACCCAGCACATTATGAGTGTTTAATAAATAAATATTCATTTCTTTTAGTTCCTTTCTTTTTACTGTATTAGTAAACTTTTTTTAAAGGGTTATTTTTGGCCAGGTATGGTGGCTTATGCCTGTTATCCCAGCACTGTGGGAGGCCAAGGCGGGAGTATCACTTGAGGACAGGAGTTCAAGACCAGCCTGGGCAACATGGAGAGACCTGCCCCCAAAAAAACTCTACAAAAAAGTTTTTTAAGTTAGCCAGGCATGATGGTGCATGCCTGTAGTCCCAGCTACTCGGGAGGCTGAGGCAGGAAGATTGCTTGAGCCCAGGAGTTTAAGGCTGCAGTGAGCAATGATCAGACCACTGCACTCCAGCCTGGTTGACAGAGCAAGACCCTATCTCTTAAAAAAAATTGATATAAACAGAAGAAGCATCTATACCACCAAGAGAAAGAATGGGTAGCAGGTAGGGAAGTAGAGAAAACTATTACTAACAACAGAATTGAGCAAAGATGAAATATGATGTCTTGGGAGATACTGTGTTCCCACCATTAGATATGTTCAAGCATAAGCTATGCAACTACCTCTAAAGAGAGAAAAGAGTTGAGCATTAGGCAGATATCAGATGGAATAACTTTTTTTTTTTTTTTGAGACAGAGTCTTGCTTTGTTGCCCAGGCTAGAGTGAGTGCCATGGTGTTAGCCTAGCTCACAGCAACCTCAAACTCCTGGGCTCAAGCAATCCTTCTGCCCCAGCCTCCAAGTAGCTGGGACTACAGGCATGCGCCACCATGCCGGCTAATTTTTCTATATATATTAGTTGGCCAATTATTTCTTCTATTTATAGTAGAGACGGGTCTCACTCTTGCTCAGGCTGGTTTTGAACTCCTGACCTTGAGCAATCCGCCCGCCTGGCCTCCCAGTGGCTAGGATTACAGGTGTGACCCACTGCGCCCGGCCGTGGAATAACTTTTAAGGCCTAATTTCATTCCTGTTAATTTTAATAAAATATTCTCTTGAATGCTGTCTGCTACATTCTTTAGTAAAATGTTTGCTCACGCATCTTCTTCTCTGTAGACTGATTAGAAACCATGATAAAATTATTGTTATGATACAGTGCTGATATTTTTATTGACAATTTTGTTATATTTGTTGAATGAATAAATGAACAACTTACAAATTAATATCACTACTCAAGGTCATCACCATAATCAACTTATATGTAAGGTTGGAGACATAAGTTTACTTACTGTCAACATGCTTGTTTCTTTATGCTGAGAGAATTCTAAGCTGTCTCCTCTTCCTTTTTTGTTAGTTTCTATTAAAAATTCATTTATAATCAACTGTTAGACAAAATAGCCATATCCAAGATGGTCAAATTGGATTATAAAGTCTTTGAGACAGACAACTATGTAATCTCATACATAATATAATTTCTCACATATAGAAATATACCCCAGGTACTTGGTAGCAAATCATTTGAGGGCCAGCAGCCATAAAAGATAATCTTACAGGCTGGGCATGGTGGCTCACACCTGTAATCCCAGCAATTTGGGAGGATGAGGCAGGAGGATTACTTGAGGCTAGGGGTAAGAGACTAGTCTGAATATATTGAAGTCCCATTCTAAAAATAATTTTTTTAATTAGCCAGCATTGGCACTTGCCTGTGCACTTAGGAGGCTGAGGTGGGAGAATTGCTTGAGCCCAGAAGTTTGAGGCTGCAATGAGCTATGATCACACCACTCTGGCCTGGGCAACAGAAGCAAGACCTTGTCTCTTTAAAAAAAAAAAAAAAGAAACTTCTCTTTTGTCATTGTTGCTGTCATTGCAGCTTTCTTATTCAGGCATTCAGAAGCAAAATGGCATTTAAGCTGTTGGACTGGCAGTTTATTTGTTTTTCATTTTAAATCTCAATCTTTAACATTATCACTTTTATGAAGTGAGTTTTATGTTTGTTAAGTTTGCTTGTTTCTCTGTTTGAATAGGAAATATTGTGTTTCTCTGTTTAAGGTTATAAACCTTTTAGCAAACACAAATTTATAATGTCCTATCTTAAAGTAGCAAGTAATTGAAGGCTCAGTATTTTTTAAAGCCTATTCTAGTTTGTTTTAAACACATAACAATATAACTAGATATATCGTACTGGGTTTGTATACATATGTCATTTGTCTCTTGATGTTTCAACCCCTGTGTTTCAAAGTTATTCTCTTCTC